ACTGCTGTCTAGATGTATTGACACTGCCTCAGCACAAAGATGCCAGTTCCTCAAGTTTTACAAAATGGCTTTCATAGGGGTTGAATATTATTCAGGCCCAAAAAAAGCCCAAACCCTAAAGTATTTAGAGAACAGGAATGTTGCAGTATAGTCACATGTTTAATTAAATGTCATTTAATGTTTTATTTGAATGATCACATATTTATTGTATAGGCATGTGCACATCAGTGCAGGAAACAGGATGTTTCCATATGTTTTTTGTTCTTTTATATATTCATATATATATATATATATCAAATGTAATTTTGATGAAATAAGAGTCAGTGCATGTGTTTATTAGAGTATATCACATACTCTGAAAGAAGTGTGCTCTTTTGGTCTAAGTCTTCAATCTTCAGTGTTTGCCATCAACAGTTTTCGGGAACTTTTTTATTACAGGACACACACAATTCTTGTGTGAATTCTGACTTTTTATAATTTTGACAAATTATGTAAAGAAAATGTTTCAGTTGTGGTGATTGTATGAAATGTTTATTTTGTTTCTGTGCGATCCTCAGGTCATGAGCTCCACAAATGGAGAGCTGAACACAGACGACCCGACCGCAGGACACTCCAATGCTCCCATCACTGCACCCGCTGAGGTAGAAGTGGCAGACGACACAAAGTAAGTCCCACAAATGTGTTCCTAGTAGGCGTTCCTACTGAACTATAGCTTTGAAATATGATCTCAAATGGGATGTAAACCATGACAATGAAAAAACAATGTTTCCTTTTTGCTTAAAATTACCAGATAAAAGCATTTGAATCCAAATGTCAGAGAATAATCCATCATATCGTTGCTGACACTTTTCCATGCATTATTTTCTTTTTTTTAATTATCCCTGTATTTGATTGATAATGAATCATAACAGTCAAATTAATCAGTGTAAAATGGACAACTTGAGTATACTTGACTGCTGTCTTCACTCCCATTTGTTGTAACTCCTTATTTGCGTAAATATGTCAGAATGCTGGATATACTAATTTTTGCATTACTGCTCGTAGCTCGTAAATGAATTATGTATGTTCATTTTGTCTTGGCATATTGCTGTGTGAATGTCCCTGTACTGATTTAATGTTCCTCATTATGCCTCAGCGCTCTTCAATTTATAACCGAATTCAACTTATCAAGACACTTTTTTTTGTGTGTGTGTGTGTGTGTGTGTCTGTTGTAATTTTTGCTCTGATTTTCTTTCAGGTGCTGTTGTTTTTTTAAAAGAAGAAAGAGGAAAGCTCTTCAAAGGCACAAGTGAAGCCCACTCTTTGAAAAGAACTTGATACATTCTGGTCACTGTTAAGTTTGAAATGCAAGAAAATACACAGATCTCTCTCTCTCTCTCTCTTTCTCTTTCTTTCTCTCTCTCTCTCTCTCTCTCTCTCTCTCTCTCTCTCTCTGTTCCTATCACACTTTCTTTCATAGATGCTTCACCACTTAATGGAGTGCAAAGGAATTTTGTTGACTGTCCAACAGACTCTGGTTCCTTCAAAAAAGAGAATAAATGAAGATATATGATACAAGATGTGTAAAAAGAAATAAAAAGGAAATCACACATAAACATTCAAAAAGATGAAAAGTACGTGATATGAGAGTAATTGATTATATATAAGAACCCCAGTGGTGTGAACAGCTGTGGCACACGTTGTATACTAGATTCCATGCAGAGCATTTATTGTTCATTGATCAGGGGATGAAAACATCAGTGAACGGATGATTTAAGTTTTCTTAAAAATATTTTTTATTTCTGACAAAAGCATGAGGGCAGGAGTCGCCTCTGCACTGGGAATGAACCCCACCAAATTACAAAATAACAGGACACATTTCATCTCAACCACACTCTGGAGTCTTTTTTTTTTTTCTGTGATTTTTTTTTTATTATTTTTTTTTGGACAGGAATCCCTGGGTTGTAAAGCAGTTGTTGTGTCCTGGAAATGCTTTCTTTTTGTCCTTCTTTTTTTGTTGTTGTCATTTTTAAATATAAATTCTTCTCATTGTGGACTCTGTAGCACAGTTACTGGCCTCAGGTACTGTGGGCGAAGGAGAGACAAATGGATATTATTATCTTGTCGTTGTTATTGCACTTTTGGGGGAAAAAAGAACACAACACAGTGGGCTTGCAATGAAACGATGAGAAAAACGTCAGACAACTGATGTTGGAATGGTCCCGCACAGAGCCGATATCTGTTCAAGGACCGGTAAAGGAAAAGAAGGAAAAATGTACTTCAGTTTTATTTCTCACATCAAAATTTATTTACCAGGAAATCATAGTTTGTGCCTTTCCAAGTAAAATGTTTAAAATTTAAGCAAGTGTCCTGCACTGAATTTTTTTTGAGTGATAGCATTGTTTTTTTGTTTGTTTTTGTTTTTTACGTGTGGATGTGAATGGCTTGTGTTGTATATTTCTCAGCTTAAGGTGTGTTTTAGTTCTAAATCAATTATTGTTTAAAAATATATTGTATATCTATTTCTATTGTATATATATTTCATTATTGTTAAAAATATACACACAACGGCAACTTTATTAGGCACACCTTGCTTGTACCGGGTTGGACCCTCTTTTGCTTTCAGAACTTCCTTAATTCTTCATGGCATAGATTCAACAAGGTGCCATTAAAATTGACATTATAGGATTACAGATTTGTCAGCTGCACATCCATGCTGTAGAGGCCATTTGAGTTTAGTGAACTTATTGTCCTTTTCAAGAAACCAGTTTGAGATGATTTGAGCTTTGTGACATGGTGCATTATCCTGCTGAATGTAGCCATCAGAAGATGGGTACACTGGTCATAAAGGGATGGACGTGGTCAGCAACAATACTCAGGTAGGCTGTGACATTTAAACTATGCTCAATTGGTGCTAAGGGACCCAAAGTGTGCTAAGAAAACATCCCTCACACCATTACACCACCACTAACAGCCTGAGACGTTGATAGAAGTCAGGATGAATCTGATCCTACCATCTAAATGTTGCAGGAGAAATCGAGACTCATCAGACTAGGCAACGTTTTTCCAATCTTCTATTGTCTAATTTTGGTGAGCCATGTGAATTGTAGCCTCAGTTTCTTGTTGTCAGCTGACAGGAGTGGCACCTGGTGTGTTGTTCTGCTGCTGAAGCCCGTCTGCTTCAAGTTTCAAGTGTTGTGCGTTCAGAGATGCTCTTCTGCAGACCTCTGTTGTAGCAAGTGGTTATTTGAGTTACTGTTGCCTTCCTATCAGCTCAAACCAGTCTAGCCATTCTCCACTACCTCTGGCATCAACAAGGCATTTTCATCCACGGAACTGCCACTCACTGGAGATTTTCTTTTTTTGGGACCATTCTCTGTAAACCCAAGAGATGGTTGTGCATGAAAATCCCAGTTAGATCAGCAGTTTCTGAAATACTCAGACCAGCCCGTCTGGCAACAACAACCATGCCATGTTCAAAGTCCCTTGAATCACTTTTCTTCCCCATTCTGATGCTCAGTTTGAACTTCAGCAGATCATCTTGACCATGTCTACATACCTGAAAGTATTGAGTTGTTGCCATGGGATTGACTGATTAGATGTGTGTTAATGAGCAGTTGAACAGGTGTACCAAATAAAGTGACCTGTGGTGTGTGCGTGCGTGCTTGTATAAATGGTTTATGAGGACACAAATGTGTAAATGACATGCATATTACAACGTAAACACTTCCTGTCACCTCGTAAACCAAATGGCCTTAACATACTGAACAGTGTTTTGTTCAAAAAATGCTGAAAGTTTTCTGTGATGGGTATGTTTGGAGTAAGGGGATATAACATTTGATTAGCTCAGTATAAAGCCATTATCTCTATGGAGAGTCCTCGTAAACCACATATCCAAACAAGCATGTCTGAGTGTGTATATAGAACAAAAACAATATTGGCCTATGGATAGAACAAAATTAGAATTTAATAAGGGTTTGTAATTCAAGAGCTTCTAACTCAATGTACCTACTGTCTAAATTGTATTTTATCTTCAACATCAGTACCACCAATCCCAATAGATTATCAGGTCATTCATATTAGGCCCATTGTGACATCAACACTTTACATGAATGTCCTATGTGTCTGTGCTGTCATGTCTTATGATGTTCAGACTGTCTTGTCATATGTGTCAGATCTTGTGAGGTGTAAAAAAAGAAGTTATCAGGTGATTGGTTTAGTCATTTATTAGCAATAGTGTTACTTAATAGGTGCTAAATTTGTACTTTGGGAACTGTATGGAGGACCACAAGTTTCACGGAAATAGTAATAAAGTATTTCATTAACTAATTGTACAATTGAAATAGGCATTAATACATTTATTTACAAATACATTCATCTATAAAAACTTAAAAAAAAAATTTTTGAATGGGCAATGAATGGAGTAGTTATAAAGATTTACACAAAACCCTCAATAAGTGGTTGTGATAATTTGTGGTCCTCCATGCATCTTGTCTTTCATCCTAGGCAAAATGTTCAGCCTTCACACATTTTCCATTACTTTTCCTTTGTAATATATGTTAACAATCTGATATTCATGATAATTAGGTTCTCAATTATTATATATAGTTATTGTATAATAACATTATATTATACATGCAACATAACTCATGTGTTCGATAGGCCTATGTGCCTATGTAACTCATGTGTTCGATAAGACACACCAAGGTGATTTTGTAATCTTTTCCCTCTTTTTAAAAGGGCATGTAGGCCTATGCTGTGCTGCTGTCTATGAAAATCAATTCATAACATCCCCTTTTCCGAGATGGAGTGGGTGTGAGATGGAGAATTAAAACCGAAAACGGGCAGTGCTGGATACAAACAATCCCTGGCAGAAACCATTTCACTTTTATTTCAGTACTAAAGCATCATTTTCATCGTTTTCTATGGGATTCGGTATTCAATTTAGTCGGCTGACTCATTGTTAAATCTGTTTTAGATCTGTTTTATCTTGACTCCGTTTATCGTTTCCTTCATTCACGATGTCCGATCAGCCGTTAACTTTACCAGTGTGCAGGCGACTGACGTACGCAGTGGGACATTTCTTTAACGACCTCTGCGCGTCTATGTGGTTCACGTATTTACTGGTGTATTATCACTCGGTTCTCGGGTTCAATGACACGAACGCAGGTGTGCTGTTGCTGCTCGGACAGATCGTGGACGGGATCTGCACGCCGCTTGTCGGATACGAATCCGACCGGAGGGCAGGATGTGGAAAGTATGGTAAAAGAAAGACCTGGCATTTAGTGGGTAAGAGTGTGAATTCAAACTTGTAACAAATTAATAGACTATATCAAGCGGTCTGTGGAGGAGCGCGCGTTTTTTTTTATATTTTTGTCTGCTATATTTTCTGCATTCAAAAAATTCCAGGCTATAATAAAAGTAAGTTGCCGTGGAGCTTTAAAATGATCTGTAGAAGGTGTAACGTTAGGCTATTCCACTTAAAATCCCTGCAAAAACTACCGCTGTGTGTTACTTGACGTAGATCCAGCCGTATAACGTTACTCCATCTGAAATGATGATGGTCAACATATAGGAAAAAGAAGCGAAAACTTGTCATCTGTAGTCAGGGAAATGTTAGATGTAAATAGGGTACAAAATAGCGCCCTGAAACTTGCCAACAAATGGGCAAAAAAATGATCGTGAAGTTCAGGAAATCAAACTAAATTTTATTTGAGCCGTTTTTAAATCCGATTTCTAAGTGGAAGCGTAATTTGTTTAAAACTCAGATTTGTTTAGAAACCTTTTGTCCAACCCCATTTGTGTGATTATATGTAATATTGCAAAGACAAAATTGTATTTTAAAAAATGCCAGAATAGGTAACAGGATTATTTACATTTTTAATTTAAATTTACTTGCATATGTAGCAGCTCGCTAGTTTGGGACAAAATTTGGTTTGTAGTTATAAAAACACTTATATTTACCACAGATTAAACAAAATTATTGGTTTTATATCTTTATTTTTCTCACAGTAACTTAGGTAACTGATTGAGCACAAATGCACCCATACCAAAATGGGCAAAATGGAATCAGCTTTACTGTCATGCTGTAAAAAAAAGAAAAGATAAGAAAAACGTCCAAATTATGTCACTTTCTGAGTGTCACTCAGTTTCACTGCACTCATTGTCCAGTTTACTGCCCATTTCCCCTCAGGAACTTTAAGTGTGTTTGCCTCCTTCCCCTTCATATTCAACCCCTGTATCGGGTGTGATGAGAGCACCCCACAGATGACGACACTCATTTACTTCATCCCATTCATGATCATCTTCCAATTTGGCTGGGCTGCTACCCAAATAGCCCACCTGTCTCTTATTCCCGAGCTGGTCACATGCGAGCACGCCAAAGTGGAACTAACGTCATACAGGTATCATTCCTCTTCAATTAAAATAACCAACGTAAACCAATGTAGTGTTGACAAACCTCAAAGTCTTAAGCTATTCAGTGACACTGTTGGATACATTTTGTCTTAGAAATAAAAGAGGAAACCACAAGAAAACGGTTTCCTTATTTTGAAGTTGGCATGAAATTATTCACCCTATCTATTTTTAAATGCATGTTATTGATCTTATTTTGAACTATTCATCTGTGCATAGCTTTTCATGGACTTCAGTTTGTTGCTTCATGTAACTTTGTTATGGATGATATTTAAAGGGGTGGTTGATCATGATTTCACTTTTCTAACTCTAGTTAGTGTGTAATGTTGCTGTTTGAGCGATGCTCAAAGTTCAAAGCAAAGGGAGATATTTTATTTGAAAGAAATTTATTTTTAAGGACTACAACAAAAGACTGGTAGGGACTACACGACATTCCTCTGGGGTTAGTGACATCACCAACCCTGACATTTACATAAACCCCACCCCCGGGAACACGATTTATAGATTATCAAGACAGAAAATGCTAATCAATGAGTAGAAGATAACTACAAATAACGACTCCGGTTTGAACAAAAAAGGCTAAAGGTTTTTGAAATTTGTAGTGCATGTCTGTGTGAGGTAAAAGGACACAAGTTGTTGAAGCTCCGCCCTCTGTGCCGGGAGCAGCAACTCATTTGCATTTAAGCGGACCAACACAAAAACAGTGTGTTTTTTCTCACCCTCAAAAAGTGACAACTTTAACATGCTATAATGTTGAACTAAAACTTCACATACACACTCTGGGGACATCAGATATTTATTTTACATCTTGTGAAAATGACATTATCCCACCCCTTTAAGAGTTGTTTGCTTTCCTGTACAGGTATGCTTTCACAGTGGTGGCAAACATTGTGGTGTATGCTGTGGCTTGGCTCTTGTTCAATTTCCAATCCCAACAGACAGAAGACCCATCTATTTCCCAGAATCTGAGCTGGTTTGATGTTCCCACATTCAGAGTGAGCAAATGCAAATATATTCATACCCTTGTCGACATCATAAGTAACTCTTCAAATTGATCTCCATCAAGCTGAGGACATTTACCCTACATTCAGAGTTAAAGGGATGGTCCACACTAAAATGAAAATTCTGTCATCATTGACTTACCTTAATGTACAAACCTGGCTGTATGCCTTTCTTTCTTCTGTGGAACATAAAAACAGGAACGTTGGAAACCAAACATTGAAGTCCCATTGACTTCATACAAAAATACAATGGAAGTTAATGGGAACTGAAACTGTTTGGTTACCAACATTCTTCAAAATATTTGTTAATTTCTTCTTAATATCGGCTTAATCTTATTTGTTGGGACAGTATCTGGCGCTCATAGTATGGGCCATCGGTACTGTTACCTCCATCATCTTTCACGTGGGCACTAAGGAAGTCCAACCTCAGGAGACTAAAGAGACTGGACAATCTCAGCCTCCAACCCAGACCTCCGGAGCCCTGCTCCAGTGGAAACACTGGTTCATCGAGCCTGCCTTCTATCAGGTGATCCCATGAAGACCTCGCACTTTTACTATGAACAAAACACACAGACACACAAGATGCCTTATGGAAACTACAAACATGTAAAAAAGATGTCTTATAATGAAACATTATTCGCAGTATGCTACTTAATAAAAATAAAGATTTTTTTTTTCTACCTCCAGGTTGCCATATTATATATGTGCACTAGACTGATTGTAAACTTGTCCCAAACGTACATCCCGATGTATCTGACAAACTCCTTATCACTGCCAAAGGTGAGGAACATGACACTTCTCAATATAAACTTGTTATTTGAAATAAAGCTGAAATCAAATAAAATTAAAATCCTAAACTAAAAAAAAACTCATTAACAAATTTAGAAATGTTTCCTTGGCATCTAACTAAAATAAAAAATAGTTCAAGTTAAAGTACTAAAGTGACTAAAACTTACTCTGAAATAAAATAAATTAATGCTAAATAGAAATATTTATATAAACTAGTGCTGTCAAATCGATTAATCGCATCTAAGATAGTTCTTTAACAAGTTTGTAAATGTATAATATATATATAAATGTGTGTGTGTGTTTGTATATACATATACACACTGACTTCAATTGCTTGTACAAAGAAAACTACATGTATTGTACAGTATATGTACACACTGACTTGAAATTGCGTGCACAAAGAAAACCACATTAACATAGCGTATATATACTTTTAATTACAATACCACATATGTACAGTAAGGCTGGTTTGGGCAGTTATGTTCTGGCACAATGAAGTGAATGTAAAAATGAGCAGAACATCCTCTCTTTTTTGCAGAACTACATTGCAACTATTCCCCTGGTCATGTATGTCAGTGGGTTGGTGTCTTCTCTGGTTATGAAGCCTGTTAACAAACAGATCGGCACCTCTGTGAGCTTTTACTGTTTCTCTGCTTTATCCAAATACCGTGAATCAAAATGCCTCATATGTCATTTCTGCCTTTGCAGATGACCTATTTTTTAGGTCTTGTGCCCATAATGGTGTTTTCCTTCTGGGCTTTGGTGGACACAAACATGGGTCCGCGGGTTTACGGAGCCGCCGTGCTGCTGGGAGCTGGCTCTGCTGTCATTCTGGTCATGTCACTGTCCATGACCAACAATCTCATCGGAGATCAAACAGTATGTGATGATATCATAATCATATGCATAAATGTATATCAAGTGATGTTTTTGAAAACTGTTTTTGAGGGGCTCTGCACAATATCTGTTTCAAACTAACACATCAGATGCGATTTATACAAGTAATTGGTAATCAGCTTGGTGGTTCAAGCTCGCTAAAATATAAAGTTTCGTCAGATATCTCATTAACGTACACAGTGCAGCAACGAACACAGCACGAATGGTGATGTCCGACTCGCAAACAAGTTACTTTAATAAACTGGTTCTTTGTAACGAGTCAGTTGAAAACCATTACTGACATACTGTAGATGTGTATTTTACTGAATTCTTGTTCATATAACAACATTTTAAATATTCAAATAGAACACAGCTATTTCAAATTGTAATAATATTTCATAATATTCCTGTTTTACTGTATTTTTCATCAAATAAACGCAGCCTTGCAAAGCACAAGAGACTACTTTTTTAAATGTAAAAAAATCTTAATTATTCCCAACTGTTGACTGCCAGTGACTCTAATGAAGATCTTTCTTTTAACAGCAAAGCGGTGCTTTTGTGTATGGGGCAATGAGCTTCACTGATAAGGTGGCCAATGGACTTGGTGTCATGATAATACAGGCTTTACATCCCTGTCAGTGAGTACAATCAATCCAGCATCTCCAATGAAAGAGCCTCCTGACCCCTGACTGTAGTGGCTGGGAATGTAGAATATTTAAATACCCTTCTTGTCTGCAAATACCATCTTGACTGCACAATCTACTTGTTTCATAGGGACACTGACTGTTGTAATGTGTATGCTGCAGATGGCCTATATGTGTGTGTTTGAGTGTGAAAGTCTAACTATTCATTGTCACATGTTTTATGTAGGTTTCTACTTGGCTTCTCACATTATTTTGGTCTTTATTGACAGCACACTGGACTCTGACTGCAAATGGTTCTATCGAAACGTCATGGTGATCGTCACTGCCGGTGTGGCTGCCGTTGCTGCTCTCTGTCTCTCAACCATGCTCATCTGGCCCATTGCAATTCGCCAACGTGAGTCTTGGACTTTTTTGAAACCTACACAAAATGTGTTGTTGTTTAACCAGAATCCGGCTCAGCCTGAATGGTGGATATGATGGCTTAGTAACACAAATTTTCTGAAAGGTTGCTGATCTTTGTTCTAGAATAAAACTGGAACTAGATTTTTAGAAGAAACCTGGGTGAAATTTTTATTTTATTTATTTCTTCTGCTGAACACAAAAGAAGATATTTTGAAGAATGTCAGTTACCTACTGTAACAGTTAATGGGACCCATTGACTTCCATAGTATTTTTGTCATTGGGGTCCATCAACTGTTTGGTTACCCATATTCTTCAAAATATCATCTTTTGTGTTCAGCAGACGAAACAAACTCATACAGGTTTGGAACAATTTGAGGGTGAGTAACTGATGGTAGAATTGTAATTTTTGGGTGAACTATCCCTTTAATAGTGATTGTATTAAATTGTGAATTGCAATTTAAATTGACATAAATAACATGTTTTTCTGAAATTAAATAAGTGAGGGGAATATATCTGAAAAATAATGATTGTGTATTAGGGTTTTGTTACTATCTATTATAGTGTAACGTTATAAATATGAATAAAAACATTTCCAATTAAAAAATTTATTTGTATAACGAGTTTCACAATAAATATTATTCTAAAGCAGCATTTTAAAAAATGATTGCATTTAACATATTTAAGTTTTATATGTTTGTTAACATGTTCAAATCCCATGTTCACCCGCTGTTAAACAGCCTTTTGCAATAACAATGCATGCTTGATGTTAGCGTTTATCTAAATACTTATTTGCATTATATCCTTATGTGCCTTCTCTTTGTTCTTATTACAAATCCATTTGTGCCTCTTCAGGTCTAGCGGTCATCAGAGGGCTGATTGGTACACATGAGGATGAGACGAGCAGCTATGGGAGCAATGGAAGATTGAACTGACACATCCAGTGTTAAAAACTCAAAATCACTCAACATTCAGACCAGGCCGCGCTGCAGAGGAAACTTTATGCTTTCTTTTGCAACCAGGAACAAGGAAGATAAGAAACTGTGCTGCTCTGTGATCACGAGCTCTTTTCTCAGCACTTTGGAGGTGCGAGTTTCTGCATTGTTTTTACATTCTCAAGAAGAGGCTCTTTGTGTGTCGTATGTGTAATATGAGCTCAGGACTGTCACACGGAGAGACGACTCAAACAGGACAACAATTATGTGACACATTCAAGATGAGGAAGTTCTGAAGCTCTGCTGAAATTTTCCCAGACATTTGAAAAGATTCCACTAGAGATCAGAAACGCATCTAGTTTGTATAAAAACGTAACAAGGTGCCTTTTGAAAAGGATACAGATACTGATTTTTGAAAGTTTTGCAGATCCTTTTTGCAGATCCAGATCCAGAGCCAAACTGGAGCAAGCTGAAGTTAAATGTCCTTATTAGGGGCACAATCTCAAAAGTAGCTGTTCTTGAAAGCCTTTCAACCACTAAGCCACTACACCCCACTATAATGTGTCGTTATTCTGTGTACATCACGTGCATTAGTATTTTTTTATTAAAATAGTGAAGTGAGTGAAGCTTGTTTGGCCAGTTAGGCCTGTGGTGTTTTTAAGTGGTACATGCGATACTTGTAAAAGTTAAAAAGTTTTCTAAAGTTATGCACCAACTTTTTCAGGATTGGTGTCATTCCAGTTACCGTCATCGGTTCTGCATTTACATTCCATGGACGTCTTCACTGACACGTTTATTTTTTTAGTGCTTGTCTTGTCAACAAGCTTTTCAGCCTGATGTTTTGTGTTCACCTGTGGGGTGTTCAATTACATGGCAGTTACATTTTTGTCCACTAGAGGGAGACAGCAAGCTTATGATAAATAATAATAATATGATCAAATAATCTAACTCTGCTTTAAATTAAAATGCTAAAGAGCACATCAAATCAAAATGACTGCAATCACATTTTTTTTCTCCATCAATAACTACTGTTTTTATTGAAGAACATAACAGTTATTGAAAGTTACGGAATCACAAAATGAGTCATGGTAAAGCTTTGTCACAAATAATTACAGAAATATTGAAAATAACGTATCACTATCTTAGCCTCTATGGGGGCTTTTATTATTGTGTTTGACATATGGGAGACCTTCGGGTCAAAAAGGTTGAGAACCACTTGCTTAGTGCCACTGCTGTGGATTTTGGAAAGTAGAAAAATAACTTTTTTTACATTGACATCCATCATGTTTCAATTTATGTCATAAAAAAATAAACTGTGTCCTGACTACATGTTTTTGAACTTAATTTGAATCATGTTTATACATGTCCTAGAATTACAATATGATATAAGAATCAAAAAGTACAGGATCTATACAATTACATGGAGGTCATGGCACGTGGATTCTCTCATAGTTATGCTACAAAAAAGCTTTTCAAGATTACAGCCCTGCTTCCCTCCCGGAGCTCTGCGGATAGTCCATCAATGCCGTCGTACCTGAATACACTATAGGGTCATAATACTGGGTGGCATTGCCATTTGAAATAAATTTCTGAAACACAAGCAGCAGAAACAAATGCAAAAGCACCCTTTAATTAAAGCAGAGCTGCCTGACTCCTGGGTATCAGCCCACGGTGTGTCAGCAGCAACCCCCCTTGCAGTCTTTAAACATGCTGCTGTGGGTAATTTGAGGGGCAGGCGTCATCTCCGCCTGTTAGTGTGACCACTAATTGGAGTCTGGACCATGGCCTGTACTTGGATGGAGGCAGAGCAGTGTGAATGATATAAGATTACATCGTGAGGGGAGCAGAGGTAGGGGACTGCCACCCATGTATACTGGAGATGCACTATGACTGTATGGAGGAATTCAACAAATCACACACAAGCTGCCAAATCCTTCACTTTAAATACTTTTATAGATCAGATAAGTGTGGTAAGAGGGGTTTAGTTATTATGGTTGCAATATCCAACAGCATTTAATTTTAATACAATGTGACGACTTTTAATTTTTTGAACTGAGACATAGAAGACTTTCCCATTTGGATCTATTACAAAAATGACCATGGCAACTATGATTTGGCCTAAATTGCCACAGTTATTATTTTATTATGCCACAGTTATTATGCCACAGTAGTTAAGAGAGTCTTTTTCCATATTGTGACGTATATTTCAGTTAAACTGCTTCTCGAAAAAAAAAAAAAAAAAAAAAATGTAGGGGCGGGCGGGATTTTTTCTATAGGGAATTGATTGGATCATTGGCTCATTTTGGTTTGCTATTGCTGTGATGTCATGTGAGTGACAGGTTGTCCCGCACTCGCGCAAGTAAACAAGTCATCAGAGAAGAGATGTCGCTGCAAGAGGGAGGAGGGGAAGATTAAATATTATGAGGCCACATGATTTAAAATAAATAAATAAATAAATAAATGTGTGCACAGATTAATCACATACACACTCTAAAATATCTTGGGTTATTTTTTCTACCCAAGTCCTGCGTTGAGCCTTTTGGGTCATTATTTGAGTTATTTTTTCAGTGTTTGGGTAGTTTTTGTGTTACCCAGGGGTTGAGTTATTTATCGCGGGGCTTTTTGTGACCTCTTCAGGAGAAAGCAGTGCAGCTCAGTCAAATTGGTGCGTGTCTTAAAATACTCTAGTATTGTAGTATACTGTATTACTGTAGTATTACTGTAGTATTTGAAGTACGTAGGCTTATTTCGAAACTGGGGGATCGAAACTGACCGGCCCAAAAGTTATGAAAGACATCGTTAAAATAGTCTGAGTGACTACAGTGGATATTCAACCTACATCATACATACATCAACCTTAAGTTTATCAAGCGACGAGAATACTTTTTGTGCGCAAAAAACAAACAAAAATAACGACTTTATTCAACTAATCATTTCCTTCTATGTAAGGCCGTGATATTTCACGTAGTGATATTGCGCAAAGCTTCTAGGTTGCACGTCACACGTAGGCTCACTATTGGCCAACGCTGGTCATGTGTGATGCGTGACGTACAACCTAGAAGCTTTGCATAGTTTCACTACGTGAAATATCACGGCCGTACAGAGAGAAGGAAATGATTAGTTGAATAAAGTCGTTATTTTTGTTTGTTTTTTTGCGCACAAAAAGTATTCTCGTCGCTTGATAAACTTAAGATTGAGCCACTGTAGTCACTCGGACTATTTTAACAACGTCTTTCATAACTTTTGGGCCGGTCAGTTTCGATCCCTTAATAAGCCTATGGAGGAGTGATCCAGCTCTCAGATTTAATAAAAAATATCTTAATTTGTGTTCCGAAGATGAACGAAAGTCTTACGGGGTTGGAACAACATGAGGGTGAGTAATTACTGACAGAATTTTCATTTTTGGGTGAACTAACCCTTTAAATCAATAAAGCTTTACTAAAATTGGATCCCATGTCAATTTGTTTACTTTTTTGACAGTGGTTAACAGTTTTATTCCAGCAACAATAATCATATCTTTATGACATGTTGTTGGTGGAAACGGTGGTTACCATGGTAAATGTCTGAGTCTATTGGAACTTGAACATTCCATGTCTTCCACATTGTGATATTCAGCACTCGCAAAATAAATAAGTAAAAAAGTAACCAAGGCATTTTCAAATAGGCCTATACCAGTTTGTTTTTTTGCACACTTTTCATTTTTTTTTATGTCTTTGGTGGAACAAATGTTATGAATTTGACTGGAGTTCGCCGGTTACCATGATAATGTTTGAGAGCAAGTTAAGCCTATTTGAGGTCTTCCACGTTGTGCTTTTCATGGATTTGGATAGAGGGATGGAGAGGATGTCATTTTCTATCATAATCTTCTTCTAAACTGGACACTACCAAAAAAAAAAGCATTCAAATTACAACGAGCATGTCATACTCGCATATAAACAGAAACTTGACATTTAGCGCTCCTGTGGCACAACACCATGTTGACCATTGAGGACTCTATTTAAAACTCAGTTTCTCTTTAGGTTGTTTTATTTAAACGTTCGTCGTCCTTTCTTTTCTTATTGATATTCCAGTAAATGTATGATTTATTTTCTTCCCATGGCTGAAAATGATATGTAACCAAACCTTTTCCTCCTCCTTGGAAGTTTGACAAGCAGCATTTTGCCCTGCTTAACCAATGGACTCACAAATTCACTTCACTGTCAAATATAATATGTCAAAGAAAATTTTCGAACACGATATTATTAGGCAATCTATATGGTAGACAGTTTAGACAGTTATTCTATAGCTAAAAAAATACAAACATCACCTGTTTGGTGAATATATAGGCTATATATGAAGGAATATAATTAACATTGGCGCTTCAACTTTTCTAGTTATGCCTTTTATTAAGGGCTTTTTATGGTTACTAAAAAATCTATAAAAGGCATAACCGAGAAAGTTTGAGGCGTAACCATTAAAGGGATACCGTAGTTCACCCAAAAATGAAAATTAGCCCGGATGATTTACTCACCCTGAAGCCTTCATAGGTCTATATGACATTCTTCTTTCAGACGAATAATCGGAGTTATATTAAAAAATGTCCTGGCTCTTCCAAGCTTTATAATGAGAGTAAATGGCTGTTTGACTTTGGAAGTCCATTAAAGGTAGCCTGGATGCCAGCCCGAACCCCGCCCACAACATTTTTTGATCGGGAAGTTCGGTCTGGACTCGCTCCATTGAGGAGTAATTATGATCGGTTCAGAAATCGTCGGGCCAATCAAATTGCCAGGGCGGGCTTTATACGATGATGGACAGATGATCTGCAGGGACGTAATCCTCACGTTATCAAAGAGCGCTTGGGTTGAACTGGTTCCCTTTCAAGGCGGTCACTTCGACATTACGTCATACTGACGTATATGGGAACTCCTCCCTTCTCCATTTTCACTGAAATCTTATAGGATAACGCCAGCTGGAGACAGCTGGCCAATTGACGCAAAACATGCAAATGCTGACCGGTCCGCGGGCAGTATAAATAGCATGGGCGCGACAATTACGTCAGAATCTCTTTCTTCACGCTAGAAGTCTTATCTGAAGTCATCGTGGAAGTTGCAATAGAGGTTACTCACCATGTTTCCTCCCCGCATCCGATGGCTGCTACATGCCAGATATGTGCGGTATTGACTCGCTCTACCCAAACAAGGATCTACCGAGGCCGCACTCACG